AATAAATAAAACTCTTGACATCAGAAGGACGCAACATTTTTTAGGATTGCACATTTCAGTTTTTCACCATTCAAATCTACCTGCAATACTACAATAACTTAAAAAAAACCCCGTTATGACTCTTAAAAGCCACTGTGCCTCCCATCTTCTTTCACTAACAATTCTAAGAGTCTTTTGTTTACATTTAATTTGGACAAGAACTCAATTGTGAATTCCTCCAGGAAACTAAATTTCTATGTTTGGCACTGCTCTAGTAAAGCTATCAGAAGTGAAGCATCTGAGCAGAAACATTACATGGTCACCCTCCTCAGCTTTAGAAGCTATCGTTGGAGGCTGGATTGCAAGGCTGAATGAAGACTGCATTCTTAGCTACATCACGAAGACATAATAAAACAGTGCTGTCTGACATAGCCCCTGTTCTACACATGGTACACATTTCAGGCTCAATCTGTCTGCCCAAAAATAGGTACAAAAAGTTAAGATTCTCTAGATTATACCCACAGGGCTGGCAAGCATGGCACAGGCCAAGTAGGAGAGCCATGCCCTTCTGGAGAGACAGCTGGAGGCTAGGCATGATATTTTGGCACTTTAAAGATGGCACTATACACCTATGCCTTGGCAACTGTGTTGAGTCCTTCCAGTTTTTAATTTTCATAACATGTATTATCAGTAAGGGAAGGTAAAAAGAGGAAAAAAATGTAGCTGTGCAATACACAATTGATATTGTTTCACAATTTGCAGGTATATTCCTGAAGGACATTTGTGTTCATTCTGCCAGTTTGACTAATCCTGTCACCTAGATTTTCAAAAAGTTTTAGGTTTTATTTTCAGTTGTCAAATTTAAGAAGTTTAAGGGCTCAGACTCCTTCTTTACTCCTACATTCTTTTAGTTTAAGGTCAGCTAATACAAAGCCACAAATCATACACTTGTCAGCTTATTTCTACATATCCTTTTTTTCAGGGTTTCTGAAGAATTTACCATCTGGCTGATCACAAAACAGCGTATGCTTTCAAACAAGCCTCTGGCCAGATTCAAACTCTAACAGAGATGATAAGCATAACAGACCCTAGTGCTTTCACATTTAAAGCTGATATGTCTTTCCCACCCCATCCCCCCCACCTGAATGCCACTATTTGACAATGCACCAATACAGTCCATGACAGAGAGAGACACAAATGTGGTATTTTTCACTTATGTTGACTCCTGCAACTTACTAAAAATCCTTATTTCATGAGCAAATTTCACTCTGAAATTATGAAGCAAAGATTCGGTGTCTTTAAAGGAAGACCCAGCTTAAGAGCTATGCTCTAAATATATACCAAAATAACGTAAACACGTATTTTTAATTTAAAATTTTAAATATCTTTTTTTACAGGCTTCATAACTCCATCACCTACATTCCTCTGCCCTACGCTAGTTTGCAAACTTCAATTACAGTTATCCAACATACACGGTAAACAAGGTATGTGTTAGTGAATTTCAATTTTTTTAGAGCTATTCAGAGACAGCAGGTGTCTAAATGGTGAACAGAATTCATAGAATCATAGAATGGTTAGGGTTGGAAGGGACCTTAAAGATCATCTAGTTCCACCCCCCCTGCCATGGGCAGGGACACCTTGCACTAGACCAGGTTGCTCAAAGCCTCATCCAGCCTGGCCTTGAAGACATCCAGGGATGGAGCATCCACAGCTTCTCTGGGCAACCTGTTCCAGTGCCTCACCACCCTCTCTGTGAAGAATTTCTTCCTGACGTCTAATCTAAACCTCCCTGATTTCAATTTATACCCATTACCCCTTGTCCTATCACTACAGGCTCTTGTAAAAAGTCCTCTCCCAGCGCCCTTGTAGGCCCCCTTCAGATACTGGAAAGCTGCAATGAGGTCTCCTCGGAGCCTCCTCTTCTCCAGGCTGAACAAGCCCAGTTCTCGCAGCCTTTCGTCATAGGAGAGGTGCTCCAGCCCTCTGATCATCTTCGTGGCCTCCTCTGGACTCGCTCCAAGTGGTCAATATCCTTCTGATATTGAGGGCTCCACAGCTGGACGCAGTACTCGTACTAACTTAATTGCTACAATGTTTGCTAGCCAATTGTTACACAAGATTGTTAGTATGTCTCTTTAAATGAACCATATATTAAACGAATATCACTGGAAACTGAGTTTGCTTTCAGAATTAATGTTGTTTAAGTGAAAATCTTGTTTACAAATACAAGCAGTTAGTCATTTCTTGTGGATCTGCGAATTACAAAAAATAATTTTCATCTCTTTGTAAGAAAAGCATTGAAATTTCAGACTTTCCAAGAAAACTGTTGACCTTAAAAAAAAAATTCATATGATGATGACATTCACTGTTCTAGTGTCCCTTGAAAAAAGGTATGGCACCAGCCTGCAAATGGGTGAAGTCACACCAAACTCTTGTTTGGAGCTGCTGTTTAGACAAAACCAGTGCACTGGTTTTAGTCAGGAAAGAGTTAACTCTCCTCACAGGGACTGGTATGAAGCTAGGTTTCTGGATTTACCTGGAGAAAAGTACTGATAAGGTGTCTTTTTAGCTGGTGCTGGGGAGTGCCTGCACCACATTCAAGGTGATACTGCAGCTGCATTCCCAACTCTCTCACTACAAGCAGTGTGTGGGACATACACAGTTCAGACAGCTGACCCAAACTGGCAGAAGGGGTATTTCATTCCATAGCATGTCATGCTCAGTGCAAAAGCGGGGAGTGGGCTAACCCTTTGAGAACTCTTTGCTAGCTCTTGCATGAACTTTTGCTCCTTAACTCCTTTGACAACTCTTTTGCTAATCCCTTTGCTTGCTCGTTTATTCGTGGGTTGGTGGGTCAGTTAGCTTTTCCCGGTCGTGCTGGCGCTCACAGGGTTTGCTCAGACTCTGCTGCAACAGCTCTCGGGCTCAAAGCGGGGAGTGGGCTAACCCTTTGAGAACTCTTTGCTAGCTCTTGCATGAACTTTTGCTCCTTAACTCCTTTGACAACTCTTTTGCTAATCCCTTTGCTTGCTCGTTTATTCGTGGGTTGGTGGGTCAGTTAGCTTTTCCCGGTCGTGCTGGCGCTCACAGGGTTTGCTCAGACTCTGCTGCAACAGCTCTCGGGCTCTCTGCTCTGACTCTCACTACGCTGGACCCAGCTGTGCATCGGTCGGCAGGTGGTGAGCAACTGTATCATATGTTTTATTTCTTATTATTTTAATTACTTATTACTACTAGTAGTATTGTTATATATTCACTTATATTAAATCAGTAAATAGTCCTTATCTCATCTCAATTTTACAAGCTTCCTTGTCGTCTTCTTCTGATTCTCCCCCTCTGCTGGAGGTGGGAGGTGTGAGAACAGCTTCGTGGTATTTTGCTGGCCAGAGTTAAACCACAACAGGATCCTTCCTCTATTCAGTTTAACACTAGATAACAGTGCATGGCAAATGACTGGAAGCAATTGACAAACGCAAAGAAATCCAGGGTCAATTAAATATATGTCCAATAATAAACATAGGGAAGAAATGCCCAAATTTTGTTGCAAATAGTGAAAAAAATATATTTGAATAGTCCAGATTTTAATACCATAAAGACAATGTATCACGTAACTGAGGGAATATCAGATGTTGGTGTTTTGGATTTGCATGGCAAAATTTTGGTAGAGGGAGGCTAACAGGGGTGCCTTCTGTAAGGAGCTGCCAGAAGCTTCCCCTGTGTCCAACAGAGCCAAAGCCAGCTGTGTCAAAGACGGACACACCGCTGGACAAGGCCTAGCCCAGGGGTGATGGTGGTAGCGCCCCTGGAGTAACATGTTTAAGAAGGGGGGAAAAACCTGCACAACTGCAGTCAGAAGAGAGGAGTGAGAATATGTGAGAGCAACAACCCTGCAGACACCCCGGTCAGTGCAGAAGGAGGGGGAGGAGGTGCTCCAGGCCCCGGAGCAGAGATTCCCTGGCAGCCCGTGGTGCAGCCCATGGTGAGGCCGGCTGTGCCCTGCAGCCAGGGAGGGTCATGGGGGAGCAGAGACCCATCTGCAGCCCAGGAAGGACCCCACGCTGGAGCAGGGGGATGCCTGAAGGAGGCTGCAAACCTGTGGGAAGCCCAGGTTTGAGCAGGCTCCTTGCAGGAGCTGTAGCCCCGTGGAGAGAGGAATCCAGGCTGGAGCAGGTTTGCTGGCAGGACTGGTGACCCCATGGGGTATCCATGCTGGAGCAGATGCTCCTGAAGGACTGCATCCCATGGGAAGGACAAACACAGGAGCAGTTTGTGGAGGACTGCAGCCTGTGGAAGGGACCCCATGCTGGAGCAGGGGCAGAGTGTGAGGAGTCACTCACTCCTCCTCTCCTGAGGAAGAAGTGGCAGCAGAGAAAACGCGTGATGGACTGACCACAAGCCCCATTCCCTGTCCCCCTGTGCTGCTCAGGGGGAGAAGGTAGAGAAAGTGGGAGTGAAGCTGAACCTGGGAATAAAGGAGGGATGGGGGAAGATGGTTTAAGATCTGGGTTTTAGTTCTCATTATCCTACTCTGATTTGCTCAGTAATAAATTACTTTTTTCCCAAGTTGTCTGTACTGCCCCTGACAGTAAGGCTGAGTGATCTCTCTGTCCTTATCTTGACCCACGAGCCTTTCATTGTATCTACTCTCCCCTGCCCAGCTGAGGAGGGCAGTGACAAAGTGCCTTTGGTGGACACCTGGCCTCCAGCCAGGGTCAACCCACCACAGTTGGTAAATATTAAAATGAATTGCCTTAATTTTACTTAATGACAACTGCAAGTTTGATTTTTTAAAATTAAGATGGCAAATTCAATTTGGAGTTATACAGGCAAATCTTACAGCTATCAATAGACTGTGTTTATCTGAAGGCAGAATTTAACTGAAAATATTTCAAAATACAGTGGAAAGCCCATTCAGAACTTTTCTCTATCTAGATTGCTTTACTGTTATGTTGTAAAACTACCAAAACCTAGAACATTGTACATAGGAAAACATACCTTTTTACAAATTTAAAATTACTTACAAGCTGCTCAGACTTTACACTATAGAGCTGAATGGTCTTTGCCACGTTTTTTGCCACAGCTAAAGTCAGGTCTGGATCAACAGCAGCCACATTTAGCTCACTGGAAGCAAAGATTACAAATCTTAATTAACAACTAAACAGTACTGTATTTAATTGATAATGACTTAACTATGAATACGTAGTTACGTGGCATGTCAATTTAGAGAGAGTACCACATACAACCAAGTCTTCCTAGGCACTGTAATTCAGTTTACAATTTAACAAGCCATTTGGGAATTTTATGTGCAGTGTTCCTATTCTAGTAAAAATGAGCAAAGTTTAGGAATGACACTTCAGTATGAAATCACTATTAGTAAGCCATTCAAAAATATTGACTGCAATTAACTACATTCAAGCTTTGGCAGCAGCCTTCAAACATTACAGGTGAATGCATAGTCATTCAACTCTGGAATTACATGAGCTGTGCAGAAATACCCAGGGGACGCCTTAGCTTGACACAACTAATAAGCTGTGTTTTAGGCAATCCTTTATAGTAACACAGGCCCCAAAGGAATGACAGGGAACAAACGGAAAAGAAAGAGACTTCTAAATCACTTCCAGTATTTCTTGTTCATGGAACCCTCCAGACGCCATTGGCTTGGGCTGCATTCAAGACTGCTCTACTGAAAATAGGTAAGCACAGGGACCATCGTCCTGCTAGTGATGACATTAACCTCTCCCAAGAACCGGAGAGACGCTAGGCACCCTGAAACAGGAATAACCTTCTCTGAGAACCCTGCAGGGCTGCAGACATCATTAGCTAAATGTCCCTGGAAAACTGCTGAAATTTCTTAATTTTCATGTCGCTTTCGCTTCTCCTCCACAAGGAGCAGAGTAACACCACCAATAGGCGTGTTCTGAGCAGCTGTAACTCCCAGTCAGAAGTACAGACAGTGTCAGTATTTAATATTACACACACACACTCAGATACGCTGAATACTTACTGCCCATCATTTTCTGACTGTACTAAACAGAGTAGTCCTTACCAAAACCTTGTGAGGGAAAATACACCAGTGGTAATTTAAGCATCTCATTTTACAAATTCTACCTGGAACAGTCATCTTTATCTATTATCTAGCTGTTTAACTTTAAAAGAATATTACACCAGGTGTTATCACTTGCAGCCAAGCAACTATCCTCTTCCTTTTAACATAGTTAAAATAATTAAGATATCAGACATTTACAGTATGTGTAAACTTTCTCTTCCTGATGTTTTATAAGCTTAAACAGTAAAACTGAGATTAAAATTTCGGTTGTTTCCAGAAAAACAAAATACAGAAGATAAATCCTGGCTTAATTTTTACACTAACCAGTTTTATAACTAAAGAGTAATCAACCTCTTACTGCTAAGCAACTCTCATTGCTAAAATTGTAAGTTCTGAGAAAAAACATGCTGCATTTTGCAATGTGTTGTATGTGCATACCTGGCTATGGTTTTAATGATGCTGTCAAGCTCGTCAGAAGAAGGAGGATTCCGACCTCCAGGAGGGAAGACAAGATTGATGGGGTCAAAGAGTCGAGACAAGGATTTTGACAAATAAGCAGCTTCATATTGTTGCAGTGAATCTTTCAAGGCCTTTTCTGGACTGTGGGTATAGGACAAAATCACATTTTAAATTAAAACACACAATAGCATTGAATTTTCAAGACATACAAATTCACAGTACTGAACCTTGTTTCTCTTTCTCCTCTTCAAACATACGCGCTTGAAAAGATTTTAATAGTGTGTAACACCTTGATTTTCACTTGAACCATGTACTAGTCAGGGAGCCATTCTGCATATTTCAATACGGATCTTAGCACTTTCTGTAAGATCTATGTGGAATCCCTAATTCAAGGTGTTCTTGAGACAAACAGTGCTAAAAAAATCTGCAAAATATCAGCAAGATATCAAGAACTGCAATGAGAGACCTTCTTGTATTCACATATTTCATTAGCAGACAGCTTGTACTCAATGATGTATTTAACATAAAAAAAAAATCCTTCTCCTGGTACACAGACACATATAGAAAGCTTCAAATAGAAACACTCTTCTTACATTTACCTTTAGTAAGATCAGGCTTTAGTATTTCTATTTGTGAAAATGAGTAAGCAGCAGCTCTCAAACATTCTACCTCATTTTCAGAAGTTTGGTGAACTTTTTACTTTGCTTCCATTGAAGTCAATGATAAGACTCCCACTGACTGCTCAGGGACATATTTAAGGCAATACAAATATCACATAAAATACTCATTTTCTCTTACATAAGCCTAGAAGTTCTAATAGACTTGATGAGCCTGTTTCAATTTGATCTTTCTGATATCTACCACTCAGATCATGTTTATTCTACGATGTATAAACATAAAAACTGTGAATCATAACAAACTGAGCATTTGTCACACTCCAACGATTGCGGTATCATTAAGGGAAAGCTACTGCTCTAATCGCAGCACAGATAAAATTGAATTTTCATAATTTGCTTTTTTTCTTTAACCAAAGAGACAGAAAGATAGAACTAGTTCTGAAGTCAGGGACTTTGTGAAAGACAAGACAATCCAACATTGTTAATTATATAATTTAATGAGAGTCTTACTGTTCTAAAATAGTATTAAAGCACTAACCACAAGAGGGAAAAAAAAGCCTTTAAATTTTCCCACTCTGACAATTTGAGTAACACTAAGTTCTTAAAAATACTCTTTTTTTTCTTGCAGGGTACAAAGCTTTACAATTTATTGCCTTAAAGTTCATAATACATACTCATAATCCTTGTTTTTTTGCATGAATATGTCCTGTGTATCCTCTTCCATTTGCTGTAGTTCAGCAAAGAGATCAGTAGTTCCGCTTGTGTTAAAATTCCTCTGAATATTTTGATTATATTGTTGCAGGCGCTTCCACAAGTCATTATAAAGCCTCAGTAGTTTAGGGTATTCTCCTTCAAAAGCTTGTTTCAAAAACATAGAGGCTGCAAAACAAAGCAATAAGCATTGCTAATTTCAAACTATTTTTTTTTATTCTTGTAAATAACTTGTATCCTTGCATTTATATCAATGAATGATACAATGTTATCCTATCTTATCTATTAATTTCAAAATTATATGAGCTATCAGATTAAATGCAGTTGACAAATGTACGTGACTAAAGCACCAGCATAAAATCCACATTTGGAAGACTGGACATGGAAAACTTACTTTGTACAATGAATATAGTAATCACAGTCACGAAATATTTGCTATCAAACTCAATTATTAGTATTATCAATTATTTAAGGTCAAACTCTAAATCTAGGTATTTTCTAACAATAGCTTCATGAGGAAAAAGTGTGGGGCCAGGCAACTTTGAAGACACCCATTTAAAACAAATATAACTTTCATAAACCAAACTTATGAAATCTGATGAGGGAAGCATATGATTTTACACACAAAGGTACCTAAAATGCAACCCCTGAACTTGTCAAATAAAGCGTGACAAAGGCCGCAGAAAAATCAGCATTATTTTCAGCCTTGAAAAGCTTGCCACAAGTAACAGGAAATGAAACAAATGTACAGCTGTTTTAGCGACTGATGTTAATCTTGCTCTAACATCGCTCGTACTTTATGGATTTCCCATTACATTAGAAGATTAACACTGGCTCATTCATTCGTAGGTTTTTCAGGTTCCAGACCTCTGCCCCATTTCATCCAGCCTATCCTTTCAACTCAAATATACCATGATTTTGAACACTGGAGGACGCACATTTATTATCAAACACAGAGTTATTTTAGGTCATAAAGCTATGTTTATAAAGACCATCCCAACCTCACAAAAGCAGATCATGGTCTATTACCAAACTCTGTAAAGTGCCATGAGTTCCTATTTTTACACTATTTTTCTGATATTGTCTAGTCTTCCTCTGATCTATGTGATCCAGAGGTCTGTGACTGACATCAGTGAATTCAATCACTTAGTATTTATATGCTCAAAATAAATATTCTAATATAGATGTGTCACTTAAAAAACCTGAAAAGTTTACTTGCTGTAAGCATCATTTCCCCAGAATTTGGCTGTAGCAAGGTAAACACATTCACAGCCCAAAAATCCAACTGTTCCCTCTAAACGTTTACATAAAAAACATGACTAAATCATAAGTAATATTTTTTAATAACTGCCAGACAAAGTACTGCTGACAAAATGCAAGAGTTCCCTTACTTCTGAAATGTTGATTGATCCCATTAACTGATGTCACAATTTTACAAGTTTAAGACTGAGTGCTGAAAACAGGTAGCACGTGTTTGGTTTGCACAGAGGAGATTCCAGGTGGGTACGTACTGCCGTTAAAGTAATGCTTAAGGCAAACAGTAAAATTAATATGTTTTAACACAAGATGAATACATTTTCTTTTGGGATCATCTGGTTACTTAGCAACCACTGAACATGAATCAACCAGCTAGTTCCTCAAAATTATACTGCTGTTATAAAGCCTGGAAGGACCAAATTTTGAGGGGCCGATGCAGTCGGTGAGATCACAAAGATAACTGCAGATCTTGTGCACTTTATCTGCATGTGCAAAGGATTTACTTTATACACCGTACACAATCATGAAAGGTATATTTATGAAAGCACCAAACTCATCTGGGTTTATGATCCAATTGCATGATGCATTAACATGTACCAGCAATAGTACTATTTTATGTTTATACATGACTTTTATTTAATATCCTTTGATTGTATCTGCTATTTATTTATTACATATGTACAGAATATTTTGTAGAGTCAGAACACCAGCACTTATCTATATGAGACACAATTTTGAAGAAACTCAACTCCTATTTATAAAGGTTTCAAAAAATGGCTAAAATCAGATTTTTAAAACTGATCAGTGTTTCACAAGAAAACACTAAGAACTGCTCTTTAGAATTAAATTACTATTTTTGATTTTGGCAAACCCATTCATTTTGGAAAGTATAATGTACCATTCCATTTTTACCTCCACCTATAGTTGCAAAAATACATTTTTGTTATTAGATAATGATTACTTAAAGAAACAGGAAATATTTCTTTCTGCAAATTCAACTGTAGGTTAGGAAGATCACCCTGTTTGGTTACAAACGCAAGAAGTTTTAAATTCACAGACCCCACACTGAATGAGCCACTGCTGTAGTTCTTGTAGAGGAGATAATGAGCTAAGTGTTTCTTGAAATGAGATTCAAAATAACTGTAGAACACATTACGATTCATTTATACTGAATACTTACAGTCTGTTGCTGACTGAAACTGAGAGGAAAGTGTCTGAGTTACTGCAGTCCAAAATTTGTACAAAATATCAGACTGGCCATCCTGATAGCAAGGGACAAAAGAAATACGAGTTTCAAAACACGAGCTTTTCAAAGAATCTTAAACAACGTAAATACTTCCAAAGCTCTTCTACCATCACTCAGATTAAAAATTTGGTAAATGAAGTCCAAGAAGTTTTCCTCCAGTATAAAGCTAGAAAAAATATTGAGAAAACCAAAATAAAAGCTTCAGTCTTCTCTCAAATGGAGTATTTTCCTTCAAGTCTGAGAGAAATGCTCCCAGCTCTCTAGGGCCACGAGTGTTGAGTGAAGCGTATACCGCAGAAGCTGTGACAGAAAACCTTTGCATTGCAGTGACCTTCTCATTCCGTGGGGGTTCTCATACTGGCCACATCACAGCAATTAACGTTACTGCCATTACAACGTGCCTGCAAACACCGGCCAGGGACTAAAACCAGTGCATGCTGCTCTGCTTCACACAGAACAGTTTCCTATTTCTAGAAACATAAAAGACATGATAATACAGTGAACCTCACAGTTGACTCTTCGTCAGGTTGTGTCATGAGGGCTTGCTGTCAGAACTGGAAACAAGGGAGCACATTCTTGCAAAAAGGACAAGAAAGAGCAGGCTGTTTCCTTACTCTCCCCAACACCTTGCACGTACACTCAAGCGTTAAAGCATGACTTTGTTTTCTCTCTTTTGTTTTCTTCCTGTCTGTGTGGCTGAGGTAGAAAAAATTACAAGCGATGATGATGGGTATCCTGTCCTGCCCGCCAGTTAGGTACTTGGGAAGCTGTCCAGCATTTTCTTGGGAAGGGGAAGCTCTCTCTGGACACAACCGTTTTCTTCATTGCATGGTATACATGCAATGTATTGACCCTACTGTATAAATTAACCAGTTTGACCAACTCACTATAGTAATGATAATGGGCAAAAAGTGCTCAGAATGGAAAAGTGAAACAGCCAGCAGTGATGACAAATGTCAGCAATCCTAAGGATTTATCCTGGCACTTGGCTGTTTCTATCCTGACTCATTCTGAAACATCCAAGGTTTTAAATCAGAGCACAATATTCACAGCTAAAGATGGGTTTAAGCAAAGGGCTCAACACTGAAATTGCTGTCAAAGAGGGATGCATTTCCTCAGCTTTCCTTTTTGGCACTGCCAGTGACTTCATTATGGAAAAAATGGGGCGAAAACCCCAGACAACCCAAACCAAAACAAATAACCCTAGTTCTTGTTAGCAGCACAAGCCCTTTTAAAGTGACAGTTCAACTTCTGCACTGCCTAGCACCAGAGAAGAGTAACTATCAAATGTAGAAGTCCAGCTACTCCAAACTGAATTACTACTAAAGATGAAAAAGGACAAAGAATGCTCTCTGTTCACTTGCACTGGCAGTAACATGCAAAGCAATGAAGGTGTTATGAATGTCATGCATTAACAGGGTACCACTGCATCCCGCCTGAAGAGCAAGTCATTGAAACACTGCAAGTTCATGCTCAAGTTTCAGTTTCAAAGCTATCATCTTAAAGAATTGATATAAAACCTGAATATCAGTCAAAGGTATAGAGATATCTAAAAATTAAAAAAAAAAAAAAATAAAAACATCAGATAGAATGCTTTCACAAATTCTGAGATTAGATGAGGAATTCACAGAGTCAGAGTGGTAAGGGTTGGAAGGGCCCGCTAGAGACCATCTAGTCCAACCCCCTGCCAGAGCAGGATCACCTCGAGCAGATCACACAGGAACAAGTCCAGGCGGCTTTTGAAAGTCTCCACGGAAGGAGACTCCACCACCTCTCTGGGCAGCCTGTTCCAGTGCTCTGTCACCCTCACAGGGAAGAAGGGTTTCCTCGTGTTCAGCTTGAACCTTCTGTTCTCCTGTTGATGGCCATGGCCCCTAGTCCTGTCCTACCCTTTATCTCTAAAGATTTGCAAAGAAAGATAAAATTTATGGGCTATGTGTTAAGAACTGAGAGAGAACATCTTTTATGCTGTTGGACTCGTACTTGTAAAATATATGAGAATTAAAAGAAAAAAGTGAAATACACTTGGATGATGGAATCTCATTTCTGACTGCCTGAAGACACTGACGGATTTAGAAATTGAAGTAACTTTTGCTATGCTTGTATTTTCTGTAAAGTAGTACTTGATTTTCATAAATAGGCAAAGTGAAATTAATATTAGACAATGATTCAGAAGGGGCACTGCATAAAATATATTTGGTTTTTGTAAATTTATTACTATACCATAAATGTGAAATTACTCAGTTCTTCATTTCACAGTTTCACATTTAAAACATGAGAATTGCTATAAAACAAATGGCATTTCACATTAACTATAAATTAATTAGCCTTCATATTCTCTCTCCCAAGCTGGAACAATGCTTGCCGATTCAGCATGGTAACTCAATTCAATTTCTAAATAATCTAATGGAGGTGGAAAAATACTTACAGAGCTCTTTCAAACAACTTTTCATTACTGTAATCACATCTACACCTCTGCCATAGCCTCAGCAGAAAACACATTGATTGAAAACAAACTTGCATGCAGTGCCTCCACACCAACATTTTTATCTTAATTGGAGGATTCAACATGGTGACAAGTAACAGTAACATACACGTGACAACAGGCAATGTTTTTGTGAGAATACATAACTTTTGTAGCGACTTATGTACATATATATAATATAAAGTCAGACATATATACATAGATACTCATGTAAACATTGGCATAGTAGCCACAGCACACCAATTAAACCTTTGTTCATTATCTTGTGTCTTCTGACCCAGGCAAATGGTGTTCATGAGCTGTATCAGAATTTTGTAGTGAAGGAGGGCCTCACGTCTCGGCCAATCAACTGTATTATGTATGAGGGGAAACAAGAGGGGGAAAGCTACACAGAAAATTCAAATAACATTTCATGCTGATTGACTACGCAGTCAAACATGTTTAGGAGAAAAAATGATTAATGCCCCACTTTCAGACCAACAAAAACTCTACGTACGGAGTCATTATGGGTTGCTTCTGTAAGGTAAGATACGATTTTTCACTTTGTCCAGTGTTGAGATGCAGCCACGCTGAAGGTGAAGCATAGCTGCTGATTAATAGTGCACAAAAGACCATGTAAGAGTTTGTGGCAGGAACTAGAGAACACTGTTGCCTACGCATACACCAGGGGGTATTTAAGTGGGTGGAATGTAGCTACCAAAATTGGAATACAGCAAGGCATTAGCATTAGATACTCCTGCTGGAGTAAAAAGTGCCATATGCAACATGAGCATCCAGAAACCACTTATTTATTTTGTTTAAACCTGTAATTTCTTTTGCTTACACATTAACTCAATATATTATTTTCTTAAGTACTTTTAAGTATCTCACTGACTATTTTTTAATTAATGTATTCAAATAGAGATTACATCTGCGCCTGTAGATCACAAATTATAATTTAATTATTTAAAATACAATGTGCAATTCTATTTGACAATAATCAGTACTAAAAAATGACATAAAAAGGGTAGCAAAAGGAGTGTTTTTCTCCATCTTAGCAGGAAATTTAAGGAATATCCTTCTCCTTGAACTGGACAACTTTCTTCAAGGACTTGAGAAGATAGGTAGGAAGCAGGTGGAAGAGAACAGGGCAGTACTGCTTGCCTGAAATGTACACATCTACTTGCTCATCTAATTGTAATGGAAAGTTTGTAAGCCCTCTCCTATGCTTCATATAGCACTGTGAGCAACATCCCACAGTATCACAAAGTAACTGCTCTTTTGGGCCTTTCAGAAAATGTCATCTAGCTAAAACTGCATTCCTGTCATCTTCCCATCTGTAGAGGGTAAGTAATGAATATGGTCCTTCTCTACACCTCCACCGAATCGCCCCACTGGCAGACAACGTATAGGAGCATTAGGTACATCCACATTAGTGATTCAATGTGGAGAGAAGGGATTCTTTTTGGTGCAAATCTGTCTTGTGCCTATACTTGTTGTCTTGCAGTACACACTGAAGTGTCCTAGCAGACTAAGTTCCACTATTCAAGGAACACACAACCTCATCATTAGCCTAAAAACTTCTGCAATTAAATAGCTTTTTGCAGTGTATCATCATATTTTTCTAACAGAACCCACAAGGACATAGTAATATTTTTATCAATTAATATTTTGAGATGTTAATTTGGGAATTTTCCATTTCTCTTGCTTCTGAAAATGAAATAAAATTGAAAGATGTTAAATTACTTACACCCCCTCCAAAATAAAAATGCTTGCCTTGAAATCCAGTCACAAGCAGATTAACATCTTGTGATACAATCCCTTGTAGCAGGAGCAGCTGACAAGATGAGTAATGAACTGCATCCGATTATCTTTTCAGCTCTGTGGCAATCATTTTCCAACAGCTTCCTATTCCATAACCAACAACACTGGAAAAAGGACACCATTCCACTATATTTCTCCCCATCAGTATATGTGTTTAGTAATGCAGAGAACACATAAACCTTTTGAAGTAAGAGGTCTGGCTGCATTACTGTTACCTGGAGCAAAACGGTTCCAGGTGCATATTGCATATATAGAAATCCTACATAAAACATCCCTACATCATTTAAAGTCTCTCAGGAGGAAATAATTACACTTGAGCATATAACAGAATGCTATTTCCACTTTTCATGCAATATGTTCTCTTTTCAACAAAAGAACCTTAACTGGAATTAAGGATATCTAAAACTCAGGACAGGCAAGATTCAGGTTGACATACACCTATTTTCCGCACTATAGAATACAACTGAATGAAACCTATGAACATTAATTACAAGCAACTGTAGGACTATAATGGCAAAACAAAATTTTCCCCCAAAAGCAGATCTATTTAACTCAGAAGTTTTGAAGTGATGGTACTATCTGCTCGCAGCTTTATTTTGATCTCACGGCAGAGAAAATCTGCACATAAATCATACATTGCACCACTACAAAATGGTTGGGAGGTTAAGGTCAGCCACAGAACTGGTTATTTTTTTGTGAAAATCTGCTCTGAAAATCCTGCTAT